TGTACATCCAAAACTTAGTAAAAACTTCTGAAAATGTTTCTATGTAAAGATATATTTAAATTCTACTTAAACTAATTGCTACCTTGAGTAAATATTTTATACGGTGAATATAAATTGATCTTTAATAAATCACGAACTACTTTTTGGTGCCATAATTTGCATATTTTTTAAATAACATGTGTAATGTATCTATGCTTCTAATTATTATTTTTTTAATATTGAGATATATATCTTTACCGATACCCTGCAGTGACGCAATATGACTGTAGATATTCTGCCTAGAGGAGTGATTCTTCCATGGCGTTACTGAGAACTGAGACTAAATAACAAGAGATTCGTCAAACGAAGACACGGTTTTTATGGTCCAATACATCGTTAGGTACAAATATCCCAATTTGAAGGGGAAGGGAGAAGAACACCACTTGATAGGATGGTAGGTTCCGTCAGACTTCAACTTTCAAAACAAGTATCACTTGTGTCGGTCCAGTCCAAACATTCTACCTTCAAAGAAATAGACTGATAAATCCCTCAATTTTTCTTTAAAAGTTGTTAGTAAAAAGTTTCACAATCTGTGGAGGTTAGTAGTGTATGGTTATGGTTTCTTTGATTTTAATAAACGTAACATAAATAAATATAACATAAGTAAAAATTAAAAACTAATAAAAATTAATCATACACAGAACGTTATGGATTTTTGATTTTAACTCATTATGTTATTGTTATCAAGTAGTAATTGCTATCAGCCGAACAAAAGAGTACAAACTTCCACTAGCTATAGCCTTTGTAGACTTTGAGAAGGCTTTCGACTCGATAAATCCTCAGCAGGGGTGGATGGGCCATATGGGAAAACGGGAAAATTCCCGGTGGGCCGGTGCAAAGATGGGCTGGTGGGACGGTCTCGATCAGGGCTCAAAAAAAGATTGGATTAGCAAAAATTAAATGGTTAAGCGTCTAACTAAAGTTACGTAAGATCATTAGTGATTCCATGACTAACTAATCAATTGGCATGAAGATAACTATTGTAAAATGTCTTTCTCTGGGACACTTATAATTTTAATAATCATCTGTTGTTTGTTCGGTTTGAACATTTTTATTATACAAGGTGAGTCTATAAGTGCAAATATTTTCTGGGCTGGTAGACGTGTTCCTGGGGTCGAAATATACCACCCCTGAAAACATTTGCACTTATTTATGGCTCACCCTGTATAGTTTTTCCCACTATTCTTTTATTAATAACTAATAAATATGACTGACTGGCATCAGAAAAAAGAATGAATAGCATTAGGTAAATTTAAATAGTCTCGATCTAAATGTATACTAAGAATACGATAGCGTAGATTGACAACTGGGGGCCTCAGTGCAATATTTTTCGAGCACGAATTTGACGCGAACTCTGCCATTAACGGAGAAAACATATCTATGCTTGGTTTGAATTAGGAACGGACTAAAAGCCAAGTCTGAGAACTAAAAGCCAAGTCTAAATTGTTGTTTAAAATGTTGCTAAAATGAGTTTGCTAAAAATTACTGAGACAGCAGAGAAGAATTAATTAAGGTTTAAACTATATTAGATAATAAAATATTAATATGTCTCGATAATCCAAATATTCTTATTATGGATTGTAACATTTTTTATGGACTGTAACGTTTGACTTATGGCATTATCATACAAGATGCCAAATGTAGAAAAGTATAGAGAAAAAGTTTCGTGATAAGAACTATATAATAACCTAAAAATGCTGCAGTTTTAATGGCGACGGCGCGGCGGTTCATTCAGTTAAAAACACGTAGAAAAAATTCACAGTCCTTTACAAAGATGCAACCGGGGGGCATTGAAAAGCTTTTTCGCACGAGCGAAAAGCACCGTTACTTATATATTGATAAATAAAATATGTTTCTTCGTTATGGTCATTTTGTTTTTGTGGATTTGGGCTGGTTGCCTGTTTTTCCCGGGCCGGTTTCCACTTCCTCATCCACCCCTGATCCTCAGGCAATAATAGAAGCTCTAGCGAAACAAGGTATTGATATGCCTTATATAGAAACTCTCGCCAATATATAAAAAGAACCCATAGCAAGAGTAATGATTTATAAAACAACCCCAGAGTTTCCAACTGGCAAAGGAGTGCGACAGGGGACGCGATATCCCCAAAACTGTTTACAGCTACATTAGAATAAATCTTCCGTCAACTGGATTGGACTAACAAAAGATTAAAAGAGATGGAGAATATCTTAACTCATCTAAGATTTGCTGATGACATAGTCCGAATTGCTAATAGTCCTGAAGAACTACAAGCACAAATTAATGAACTAGATACAGCCAGCTATAAAGTGGGTCTCAAAATTAATTTAGCAAAAACTAAAGTAGTAATGAACAACGAACTAGCGGAAAGAAAAAACGATATGTACAACCATATGTACATATGGTAACTGCAGGTTGCATTAAATTCAATCAAACGAAATATGCTGGGAATAACCAAGAGAGACCGTAAAAGAATAAAGTGGGTCGTATCCACTTTATTCTTTTATGGTCTAAAACCCGTCCACAGAGTCAAATCCCTCAAATGACAATGGGCAGGACACCTGGCAAAGAAGAGCGGATAACAGAATGATCACTAAAATTACATCAAGGTACCCACGAGGAATTAAGAGACCTAGAGGAAGACCAAACCTGAGATGGGACTATGATATTAGGAAATTGGCAGGGATAACTTGAGGCCGCATAGTGGAGTCGAAACTTTGGAGGCTTCCACGCTTCGAATGACTGAGGAGCCGAACAACAGTACCCTAAAAGGGTTCCCTTCTTCAAGGATACAGAATAATAATTTGTGTTCATTACTCTCGCCGGTACAGTTTTCTTCGCTCGTAGCAGGGCTTTTCCAACAGCGATCCCCCGTCCTATTTCGCTGTCATGGTTCCTTGGCTCCAACAGAATAATACTCCCATTATTCATTTTATCTTCCAGGCAACCATCCAAAAATATCTCACAGCGCTCAGGGATCGAAACATCTTCTGCTACCACCACGCGAAGCGTCTCCTCACATTTTCGATGTAGAACCACTTCTTCTTCATTTATTTTCAAAATTCCCTGTTTGAAGTTTAGTTCAAAACCTCTAGTGGCCATGATGTCCATTCCGAGAATAAGTTCATCTTCGATATCTGCTACTACCACTGGATGTTCAAAACTGGTGCTCCCAATAACAAAATTAAGGTTTACTTCTCCATGGACAGCAGCAGAGCCCCCCGTAGCAGTACGTAGTCGCCATTGTGTTGTTTTAACCTTCTTCGATGTTTTAAGAATGTCCGGTCTGATAATAGTTTTCGTCGCTCCTGTATCCAACAGCATAGTCCGGAACTCTCCATCAACAAAACCATCCACAAACATGCTGTTGAATTTGTGTTGTAGCGAGGCGACTTGAGCAGTTTTCGTTGGGGCATGTTGGGTACAGGTCGACGTGTGCCCCTTCATTTCGACCCTTAGTAGTTTTCCGACCTCGACGAAGCCGGTTCTTCGTTCTTCTCCTTACAACGGCTTCGCACGTGTCCTACCTGTCCGCAGTTCCAGCAATGAATCGGTCCCTTCTTGCCCATGCACTGGTCCATTACTTTCCGAAACAATCCCTTCCACAGATTCGTCGGAACATTCGTCGATGTTGGTTATTTGGTGGGGTGGATAGCGTTGGTTAGTCCTTATAAAATTCCTATATTTCATAAAGCCGTCAAGTGCGTCTCATCAACGACGTCATACCTATTAACGTCATTTTAGTAAACTACCATTTAACGGCAGTTTAAGTACATCCAAGAAAAAAAACACTGGAAATAGTAGAAGAATATGTATATTTAGGACAACTAATATACAGGAATAGTAATACGAGGAATGAAACGTGAAAGATCATATTTCAAATCTAAACTGCTACTCTATCTAAAGAAGAAAACATTTGACCAATGTGTACTACCAGTCATGACCTATATATATATATGCTTGATACTTACATAATATCATAAGGTAACTGCAGGTTGCACTAAATTCAATGAAACGAAATATGCTGGGAATAACCAAGAGAGATCGTAAAAGAATAAAGTGGGTCGTATCCACTTTATTCTTTTACGGTCCAAAAAGACCCGTCCACAGAGTCAAATCCCTCAAATGACAATGGGCAGGACACCTGGCAAGAAGAACGGATAACAGAATGATCACTAAAATTACATCAAGGTACCCACGAGGAATTAAGAGACCTAGAGGAAGACCGAACCTGAGATGGGACTATGATATTAAGAAATTGGCAGGGATAACTTGAGGCCGCATAGATAACAATAGACAACAATGGGCCCAACTGCAAAGAGAGTATATATGAGGAAGGCTACACCATAATTTGAAATGGTTGTAAAGATAAGCTGAAAATGATGATAATGGTGATGAGTAATTGTTAATTTTGAAGTTTAACTTGATATAATGTCATTTTAACAGAACGTCAACGGTTTTTAAAGACGTACCTGTATCAAAAAAGTGTTCTTAAATAGTCGCAGTTATATATGTTAAATAGTTTTTTTCTTCTTTGTGTTTCTTTGCTTCCGACGACGGGAAGAGATATACTTCCCGTAACATTTTTTTGTCCGTTAGGCAAATTTGTTTTATTAGTAAACCACCGCTCACAAGTCTCTCTGGTATGGTCACTGTTGGATTAACGCAGCGGGGTGTACAAAAAATAACAATTGTATTTTATAGAATTTCTTACCAGTGCAAGTGGTGAAATACCCATAGGATTTTTCTCAAGAAACAAATAACACGTTTGACAGTTTCTAAAACAACATGGTCACCATAGCCTTTTAATATTAATCCGCCACTGTTGGAAAATTCTTAAGTATTATTAATTTTATTATTCGAAAAAAGGAACAGAGGAAAAGAATAACATGTGATGGTACATTATTTACAACACGAAGTCGATTAGATCTTGGACACACTTATTGACACGTAATATAAAATAACAAAATTAACAATATCTCACCTGATGAACAAAGACATCTTGGCTTCCGTCATTGGGTGTAATAAATCCCCATCCTTTGGCTACGTTAAACCATTTGCATTTTCCTTTTTTAAGCTTCGGGTGCTCTTCATCTTCTGGGTGATTTTCTGTATTACTTTGTTGATCTGAAAAAAAATGATTTACATTATTTTGTGAGATAAGCCAATCAAGATTTTAAGGGAAAATTAAAAAGAGTAAATTTCAAAATAAAATAAATTTAATGAAAAGGTTTTTTAGAAGCAGAACCAGATCTGGTCAAGTATGTAGCTAATACCAAACATAAGTCGAATATGAAGATGATATCAGATATGTACACATTTCAGACAAAAACAGTAACTAAAATATAGTCTGTCCAACCAGAGGATACTTGACAGTGATAGTTTTGTTGTCTGTCATTTTACTTCGCAGGTAAATCGAATTTTCTATATTTTTTGGAACCCGTGTCCAAAATCTTCCCTGAACATTGGACAGACTTTAGAACCAATTTAATTTATTCAAATTATTTTTGTGTATAGAAGAAATAATACTAGTTATTTAAATATTAAAATTATGTTAGGATGCTCCTTAACATTGAAATATGTAGTACTAATAACCTTCGAATTGTCAGGGGGTTTTTAACAGGTCACTGTCTCCTCACTCCTCAATGAATACTTCAGTAGATTGAAGCTAAGAAATAATGGCGAATGCAGATTCTGTGGGAAAAATGGGGAAACACCAGAAGACATCATCACTGAGTGCGCCGAGACGACAACCATTCGTGCCATAAACTTTGGTACGACTGATATCGGAGATGGAGAACTAGCCTCTGTGAAGCCGTCTTAGATACTAGCTTTAGTCAAAACGAGACTGTATGATGTATTATAAATCGTTATAACTCAAGAAAGAAGGATACACACAATAGATCTGTAAGGTTGCGGTGATTAATCCACCCTCCCACATATTCTATATTCTATATCGTGGGTGATCTGGCAAATGTTCCTATCTACTGAAACAATAACCTTACAGGAGGCAATAAAAACGGGATTTCCAAAAACGGAACGACTTAGAAGGCTGGGCTATTGAAAATACATTATAATGTATGTTTTCTATTAAATACTATTTATTTGGAAGCAATTAAACTGTAAACTTGTTTATTAAATCAGATAGGATTTTTTGCTTTTGATAAAATGGCACACAGGATTATTTGTATTTTAGGATTATAAAGGATAGGACGTTTTGCTTGTGGTAAAAGTAAGATAGGATAATTTGCTTTCATAGTTTTATTATGAAGATAGTGTATTATGAAGATAGAGCTTCTTAATATCACCTGATAATATATAGGAGCTTTTGCTGTTTAATCAAAATAAGTAGATAAGAGTTTGTGTGACCAGAATAACAGCTGGTTTCAGATAGGAGGTTTTCTTTTCTTTAAATTGTGCGGTAAAGTTTTTATTTTCAGATATTACCTTTCGTCAATACGTGCATAATGACTCATAGAACGTTATGCTAAAATAATCTCAATTTTGAAAAAAATAGCAGTTAGGAGCATTTGCCAGATCACCTGCCACATCTACAAGGAATGCTGCGAATTTCATGTCTTATTCTTTTTTTTACATCTAAGATATTTTGTGGTCTATTTTTGTATATTAAATTTTTTATATTAGGTACTCCACAAAAAGAAGTCAAGCTGAGTCAAGCCGGCAGACCTAGCGGGTCATTCAATCACTGCGTCTTATCCATTTGTTAGGAAATGTTTTGTCAAGGTATTCCCTTAACTCTTGTCCAAAAAAGGCACCCCATATTATTGAAAATATATGTTTTCTGGCAGTAAATTAGGATTTGAATTGTTCGAATATAATAATCGTATATGAGTTCTGGAAACTGGTATCAAATATTGGTGTCGAAGTGAAATGTGTGCACCAATAATTCCACACCAAACATTTACTTTTTTGTGACCGTTGGATATGAATCTGTTCCACCCAATGTAGATTTAGATCTGGGTAATACCTATACACTATACAGTTGTGTAGGTTTTTAAACAAAATATGATAGTATATATTTTGATTTAGTCTATCCGTAACTATGCAGTGTGAGTCTTAAATAAGTGCACATCTTTAGGGCTGGTAGATCTCGATAAAAGAAACATATTTTTCCTTTACCGTTTTTCAAATGAGTCTAAAATAACCGAATTATTTTACTTCAAAAATTTAAAAAAATATGATTTTTTGCTTAAATTTTGTAAATTTAATCTACTACCTATGTTGCCATATTATTAAGATATTATGTTTTTTAACTAAAAACTAAAAAAAATCCAAATTTTTTTTCAAAATATTCGAAATTTTCCAAAAAAAATTCGCGAAAAAAATCTCATAGGCGTGTTTCAGAGGTCAAATTTATACTAGTCCTAAAAATAAATGAACTTATTTAAAACTCACCCTGTATATTTCATAAAACTCGATTTTGCGATCAAAATCGTCTTCAGACAACACTTATAACAATAGTTATTTGTGTAACTAGTGCGTAAAAGACATTCACTCAGTATGATTGCAGCTCGAGACGAAGTCGCGAGCTCATGCGCGGAAAAAAACTCATGCGCGGTGCAACAAATATGCTTGCACATGTTGCACGCAACTTTTTTTTCTACGACCGAATTAAAATTCTTATTTAAATGTTTATTAAAAAATGTTTACAGTAATTCACAGAATAATATTACCACTAACAATGACACTATAAACAAATACTATTTTTATTTCTTTTTAATAAATTTTGTTGAGTTGATTTTAATATTGCAATTTCAACAAATCGCTAAGAAAATTGATGGATAAACTTAATTTCCAGTATAGTCTTTTGAATCTTATTCTCATTTCTAATCTTTGAGGTCTCGGGTTCTTGTTTTTCACTTAAACTCTTTTTCAAAATTTTGCTCCGAGTTGTCTAGTACCGGAATTTGGTTTATCTTCCAGGATTTGAAAATTATTTACAATTTTTTTCTCTTTAGTTAAACTCGTCATTAATAATGTAAAAGTTATTTTTTGCACTAGTGTAAAAATTTTATTTTTAATACAGTAGATAGTGTAAAAAATAGCTACTTTTTACACGATCGTAGAAAAATTAATTTTGTATGGTTGAAATCCCTCTTGTTATTTTTTGTTCCTACTTATAATTTTTTGAATAGAATATCGACTCATATGATGATCTAATGCCAACTGTTGGTTTGACATTCTCGGACTTTCCACCCAGATGTCTAACATAACAATCAAATAATTTTCTTTATTTCTTACCGGCCTTCCACCTTCTTGTCGATCTTTAATACCCCCATTTTCATGAAACAGCTGCAAAGTCTTGGAAAGGGCTGGTTTGGATATAGGTTCCCGGTTCTGATGGCATTCACTAAAAATATTCATTACTTCGGCAAAACTCCGTGCTCTATCATCATATCCTATTAATTATTAGAATTTCAATACGTTCGATTTCATTTAGACGTGCCATATTTTCGCAAACCAATAATATTCACATTCACACTAAATTAGTTTCGAACATTTGATGTAAATGTCACAATTCTAAAATAAAAGAACGCGCAGTTTTGTTATGGAGCTAAAAACTTCGTAAGGTACGGAAGCGCTGATGGGCTAGCTGAGTTCTTTTTATATATGACTTCTTCTTGCGGTGCCGTGCCTGTCTTCAGGCGTTGGCGATCTCCATGACTATTTCGTGGAAGAGTTCTCTATCTTCTGCTGCATGAAACAGACTCTCCACCCCCAGACCGGTCCAGTTCCGTATATTTCTGAGCCATGACAGTTTCTTTCGACCTACCCATCTTCTACCTTCGACTTTTCCTTGAATAATCAAACGAGGAATATAATATTTGGTGCCACGCATTATGTGTCCGAAGTAGCTCACCTTTCTGGCCTTGATGGTGGTTAACAGTTCCCGATCTTTGTTCAGCTGTCCAAGAACTTCCTCGTTGCTTATATGTTCGGTCCAAGAAATTTTAAGAATTCTCCGGTAGCACCACATTTCAAAGGCTTCTATTTTATTTATATTCTCGACTTCTAGCGTCCATGTCTCGCATCCGTAAAAAAGAGTGGACCTTATGTAACAACGTAGTGTTCGCAATCGGGTTTGCAGTGACAGGTTTCTATTAGTGAGCGTGGTATTCCATTTTTTGAATGTTCTACGTGCCATTTCAATTCTTGCCTTTACTTCTTCGTCACATGTATTTTCACTATTTAGCCAGCTTCCTAAATATCTAAAATGTGGTACTTGTTGAATATTGTGTCCGCTGATTTTTATCGGGATTGGATTAATTTGTATTTTACCCACAAACATCCATTTCGTCTCCTTGATATTTATATTAATACCTCATTTGCAACTAGCTTCATGAACCCTATCTAGCAACGTTTGCAAGTCTTCCATGTACCACGTACCTTACGTTATTTATGATCTCACCTCCAATTTTAACGCCTTCTATTCTGCCGGATAAAGCCTCGTTAAAAATGTAATCGTATATATGACTATAGTCAGATAATAACCGACTATAGTCAGATAACAAATGACTATAGTCAGATCATAACTGACTATAGCCAGATAATAAATGACTATAGTCAGATGATAATGACTATAGTCAGATGATAAATGACTATAGTCAGATAATATTTGTACACTTTTAGACGCTCCTGGATATGTTAAGCATGCGCAGTATATTTCGCAACAAGGGGGTTTTCACGTGGATTTCATTAGCTGTTAAAAAAGAAATGAATAACCTTTCGCTGTTTAGTTTACGATTTCGGGCCTACTTTTCAGAGGCTATATGACATGAAAAATACATAATTTTAAGGGGGGTCCAAAAATAGAATAAAAATATAGCCTTTTCCTTTAAAATAAGAAAGTTCAGTGGCTGAGGGAAAAAACTATAAATTTGAGAGCATCCCCTCTATCACCATTGGATCAAGCTTAATCAAATATTCCCGTATACCAAATATCATAAAATTAAGTCTAACGGTTTCTGAGATATATGGCCGTTTCGGGACTTTTGACTAACCCTGTATAATATTTTATATGACATAAAATCTTTATATGAGACTAGCTGGTACCCGACATGCGTTACAATGCCAAATGCTGAAAAACAATAATATAGTTGGAGCAT